TAAACAAAAAACAGTATTAATGACTTTATTAAATGTAAAAAGCTGAGGGTCAGAAGACAGTAATGTTGAACGGTTTGGCCACTGATAAGTGTTCAAAATGGACACTGTAAGGCCGTTTAAATAACTTAGTAACTTCACGACTTTTATTTCTCAGCGTGATGTAGTTTTGTGGTGACCCGTCCGAAGATATTCGTGAAGCACCTGAACGAAGACTCTGCGGACGATCCTTTGTTTCAGAAACTCGAATTGCATTGGTGCACAAACGGTTGTCAGTAGGCATCGACCTGTAGGTAATTGCTTAAATATTGCGAAATATAAAATGGCCTAATGTTGATGCGTAGTTTTCTAAATGGAACTCCAGTTTTGCTGTGACGTACAAATGACTTTGAATGGCACTTTCGGTTAAACGTCCTTCGAAATATTACTTGTTGGCAAATTTTATGCAGGGGTTAGTGAGGATAATGACGGGAGTCAGAGATATTTGATATAGCAATTTGAAAGGTTTTAGTTCAAAAGAAATCCTTAGAGAAATCTGCTTTTTGACTCTCTTCTATGCAACAGTTTTTTTTTAGCCTTCGAATGTTATTCGCTGTCATTTTCAAAAGTTGTTGCGATGGATTTGCAAGCAGCTGCTATTTTAAATAACAATCTGAAACGGAGAAAAAAGCTGATATGCGGATAATGAATATTATCACCTTAAAACTGGCACCAGACTCGTGTACGGAGGAGGAGGAGGAGGAAAAAGTGGTTGCAGTGGAAGTTGCCACTGCGGCTGCACTGCTGGCTTGACTGTTAATATCAAGTTTGAAGCATTGGCAATCATCATGTCCGTCACTTGATCCAATGTCTTCCCAGCAACCTATAATGTTAAAAACATAAAACTATTTTACAAAAATTTGGAACGATGCTTCAGATGAGCCTTAAATAATTACACTCGTCTTACGCTGAGTAATCCACAGGTTTTTCTCAAAAAAATCGCATAAATTTGTTGTCCAGTGATACTCAGCAAAGGAATAAGTAGCATTAATTCAAAGTATCGAAAAACCTCAGTACCTCAATCCCATTGACTTCAAGAATTTCGTCGTTGACTGCCAAAAGGTTAGTGGATGCAGCCAAACCATTTTCAACCAGACGACTGATAAAGATGCCGTTCATTGTTATCGGCCCCCAAGGTGTAAACCGTTCAATCACTCCCAAAAACAAATTTTAGATTCAAAGTATCCTAGCGGAGTTGACTGTAGAAAAGTGTGAGTTTCAAAAAAGTAAAACTGAAATTTTTATGAATAGAAGCTAATAATCGAACAGAAATCTAATTAGAATTTTTAATGGCCCACAGATATCGAAGTTTTTATGCGAATAGAAATGTTACCATTTCGAATATAAAATCCAAGCGGTTTATTATTGTGATATTTGCATAATCTGACTCTTCTGTATTCAACTGGTAATATGTCAGCATCAACAATACCAGAAACCTGAAGAGGGGTTTAAGTTTTTTGCGTTCTTGGACTTAGAACTTCATTTACCTTTTCATTTACAAAATGCTTTTTCTTGTAAATTTATAACGGTAGTGGACAAGGAAAGTCCTATTTCCTTAAAAGTTGTTGTGTGACGCGAAAAAGGAAATATTACTCTTCTGAAATCTTGAGGATTTGATATAGAGACTGTTCTTTTCTTCCTCAAAATGCTGGTGCTAGGGAGACCGTAACCATATTTCTCTTCCAAAGATTCGCCCCTCTTCTGTACAAGTATCCGTAAAATATCAGGCCCACATTCTAGTGCCTTCTTTAAGTTCTGCAAATAACTTATACTTCCATAAGTAATCCGTGTTTCAAATGAGCACTTAGTAGTCTGAAATCATTTTATCTGCAGTTTGAAAATACAATATTAAGCGTAGTTGAGCTGGTTTAATGAAATAATCGCAAAACCTCGTCATTGGAAATTGGAAGGCGTTCTTTTTCACGCGAAAGATAAGTTAAGGACACGTCCCACGCATTTTCACCAGTGAGTTCATGAAGCTTACGTAAATTTGAGTAGAATTCTTCAAAGCTTGGGCTTGCTCCAGGACCAATACGTAGCGATATCCTTCGGACATCTACCCCAAACTTTGACTTCACTGCAACCACACGGCTCTGAAAAATGATGGCATCCAATTTCAAAATTTTTTAGCCACGAATGAAGTGAAGTTCCTCTAACGTAGGTTTTATAATTAAGAATATAAATGTACATCGGATTTGTTGTTTTCATAGAGTTTGGCTCGGGTTAGTGAACCTAATGGACGAAATCTAAGTGTCTGCACTGGAGTATCCTCCAATTGAATCCTCGGTGACATCTGATACGTATGCATCCCTGAATTTTAAAATAAAGATTTCATTGAAAAATTCAGAAAAACTGTTTAGAGAGAAATTAAAGTTACTAGAGTTACTAAGGAAAAAATTGAAACAACTTTCAGAAACTCAGAAACCAAACTGAAATCCATAGCACAAAGTTTAAATTAGATTGTTTGAAACGGAACATCACCTGCTTCTAACATTTGATGCTAATGGAGATTGGGCAGTTTGTTAGCTAAAAATTATTTAAAAGTGGAAACTGGAGAATAAAGGTTTTGTATTTACAAACTAAGCATATAAAACCGTTTAAAACTGTAGCTAACTCTTGTAGACGCATCTTCATTTTTTCTAGAAGACAAATTTGGCATTACTAGCGAAATTTTTAACCGAAGTTAGATCCAAGAAATATGAAGAGAATACGAAGTTTTTAGTGATGTCTCAGCTAAAACTGTGGTAATAAATAGCTGAAGAAAAGTCTTATAGTTAATTGTAGCGCTCAAAGGACAAAAATCATAATCCATTCTTTCTGTATTCAGGAACGTCTGCTTATGACTCATGGATCAAGAAGCCACTTTCCTTCTCAGGCCGGAACTTCATGTCAAGTAACCCAACTATCGAAATAACTTGAAGAAGCAGAGGGAATTTGGATAGCATATTAGATATAATTCAGCTCAGAGTTAGGTGGCTTAAAGATGGGAACGGACTGCCACTGCGTCGTTACTACCAACTGACGTTAAAATCAACGCTTACATTAATATTGCCCCTTACTACTTGTTCTGACTATTCCAAAAATATTATCCAATTTTTTTAAACTTCTTTAAAAATACAGTCAAAAAGGTCAGTGCGCATATGACGCAACTGTGCTAGATATACTGTAATTCCAAACGCTCAGGTACACCTTTTCAAATATTTCTACTAAAACACTATTCATCAAGCAACTGACCAAAAATTTTGGTTAAGACTATTAGAAGTTTACTTTTAGAAACTTCAGTTTATTTATCTATCGTGCTGGGACAAATAACTTTTGCAACTACTGACTGTAACTCTGCTCACTTGATCGATGGTTTGACCATCAAAGTGAAAAGACCTTATATTGAACTTAGACTCCATAACAAAAGTTAATTAGTGAGTGCTAATATTAAACGAACAGGACGATATATAGTCTTCATAACTTTAAAACTTTATTTTCCTATTGAATATTCGTTGTTCGTTACGTAGTACCTAAATAACTATGCTTTGAACTTGATAAAACGATAACAGATTTGGCCCGGAACCAAACTTCAAGTTGACAAAAAATGAATGTACTGTAACTGATAAGTAGAAAAAAATTCTGCAAACAAAATCATTCACTTAAGCAGTTTTAATGACTGTATAACTTTATACTATTTAGTAATAGTACTCTTTCATCGTTCCAGCAAAGCATTGTTTGGTTATAAGATTATGGCATTGCAAGTTTCTTCACTAAAAGCAAGGCCAGCTTGGTTGTTACACCAAAATTAAAAAACAAATAGATTATCCTGAATAATTGTTATTGCCTCTTCTCAATAACGACTCTTTATAGCTTCTTTGTATGCTCAGTTGATCCTCAAATTAGTAACGACATCTACAAGGTGGGTAAAAGAAGTGTATCAATTTAAGTGACGATAGGGAAAAAAGTTTTTGAAAATTGTGTTTCTGAAAGGAAAAATTCCATTTTACTTCACTTTACGTAGGAAGTAAATGCTTGCATAGCATGAACAAACCAGAAGTACTGCACGAAAATCCGTGGTAATTAACAAACTTTTGCAGATAACTGTTGATATTACTTTCATCAGGGAAAAATAACAAATTTGTAGATAATAAAATAACTAAAAAGTAACACCAAAAAAGTTAAAAGATTACTTGTTCTTTCCCACTATCAAAAAGATGAGAATGCCTCCAAAGAAACCTGTTCTAACAGCTATAAAAACTAAATCCCTTTGAAAGAGAGACTCCAGTGAGCAAATGAAAATTTTTGACCACCGAAGGAGAGGATTAGTCATTCTGATATTAAAAAGTAGCTGTGATCTAGCGAATTTTGTAGAAGACTCACTTATTTTACTCAAGCGTACAGATGTTTTGACAAATCGAGAAATGGTGGCAGTTCAACGGATGAACACTCACGTTAGACAACGAACTTCCAATGACACGCAAAATTCGTGAACCAAAAAAAAAACCAAATAATAAGCAACTAACTTCCGAACGCCTCTGAAGACGTGAGAGGTCGCAGCAACTGCTAGTCCACTACTCAAGAATCGGACGCTCAAGCAAAGGATCAATTTCACGGTATCATCTCTCGTGGTTAAGTTTACTGCTGTAAACAAAAGAGTAATTCAGAACTGTCCCTCTTTAGAAAGAAGAATAGTTACGGTACGACATACGAGCAAATTAAAAAAGTCAAAAAAACCCTCAACAAAAGAAAAGTAGGGGAGAATACCTTCATAAACTTGCTCTCTATATCTTGTTTTTTATAACTCCAGCTGTAAGTTGTTAATTATCTTAATAAATAAGTCCAAAGTTCTATAAGTATAGACAGTAAGAAATCTAAATCTAGTTATTTTTTTACCTTTAGCAGTAAATTATGCTTTCATCTCAACCTATACGATGTCTTGCACTGAATTAATTCTCAAAGTTTCTATAAAATCGCCTATTATCCTCGGAGAATTATAAGGCGTTTACTATTTGGGTAGCGAGACAAACTGAGTAAGAGGCCATATTACATTAAATCGTTGCGGCTTAATTAAAATAAAATTAGAAATGGCCCGCTTTTTCCGACTTACCAGCTTTATTTTCACGGCAGCGCAAACTAAGCCCGCGGATCGTGAAAATTGCTTATTTTCCTTCTAAATAGCGTCGAAAGTAATTTTCTAACTAAACAGTTTGGAAATAAGTCTGCAAATAAGTTCTTGAAATTAGTGTGCTACCGACCAACTGAGCGGAGAGGTCCAAATTTTCAGTGGAACCTATTAGCGGTCAAACCTAATGGCCATGAGAAAAACAAGATCTAATTTTATTCACCAATCAGTTATATATTTTAACATTGAGGCATATGGCAAAAAAATTTATAACACATGTCTCGACTAAACGTTGAAAAAAAACTGGGGTTGAAGAACATCACTAAAATAAGTCGTCGTTTCTCTGACAGTAGAATTAGATGAATCCTGGAGAGTGGATGGGAAGCTTGCTAACGATATAAACATAGGCAACAGAATTCACCTCTGT